ACTTGTCTTACAACAGAACCAACACTAAACATACCTTTTTTTAAAAAAAGAACCTCTATCAACTTTCAGGGTATGAGGTAGAGTTTTTTTTTTAATTCTCATTTTTCTTATTAATAGCAATTTGAAGGGGCAGCTAGGTGGCACAGTGGATAGAGCAGTGGCCCTGAATTCAGGAGAACCTGAGTTCAAATCTGGCCTCAGACACATAACACTTTCTAGCTGTGTGACCCTGGGCAAGTCACTTAACCCCATTGTCTAGCAAAAAAAAAAATAGCAATTTGTAGCATGTTTTCATATAGTTATTTATAGTTTGAAATTCTTTGAAAACTTTACATTTTTGCATCACTTAAGTGAATAGTTCTTGGCCTTATAAATTTGAGTTAATTCCCTATATAGCTTAGATTTCACATTTTATCAGTGATATTTGATGCAAAAAATTTTCTTTTTTTTAATTCAATCTAACATTTTGTTTATGCGTAACTTTTAATGTTCTGTAATGAAAATTTTCATTATATCTTTCATGATCAACCAATCAATAAACAAGCAATAATTAAGGATCTACTTGGTGCCAGATGCTGTGGTAGGTCTTAAGGACTCTAAATCTATAATCCTATGAGTATTTACAAACGAAAGAGTGGGATGTAGAGGGAAGAGGTCATTTGAGTCAGGGGGGATCAGTGTTATTCTTTGCCTATTCCCTTATCACCGACCCCTTTTGATATCACAGCAGCTTCCCTTTGGGTCTATGTCCTACTGCTCGTTCATTGTCAAACCATGTACTCCTGTGATAGCATTCACTGCCTCCTACTTAGTAGGAGTTTGTCCCAGGAGAAACAACTCCTGTATGTTTGGAGAAGTGGTCCTATTTGCCCAAATAGACTTCATTGCAAACTCTTTCTCTCATCTTCTCCATGTGCAGATCACTGCATGATGCAAGCAGAGTGTTTGTCTCTGTTTTGTGGACCTGACTCCTACTTCTGCTTCTGTGACCTAACTCCATCTTCTGTCCTTTCTAGGTTCAAATGATGTGCTAGCTCCCATAGGGACCCTTTCCTTATAACCCCATTTGTTAGCATTTTCTCTCTCCTCAAATTGTGGGGGAAATTAGTCCTTAGTTACATTTTTATAAAAAAAATCAAGTTCTCTCTCAGTAATCCTTATCTGAGAAAAAACCTTGGCAAGGAATCCACAACCCAATCACCTAGGTCCATCTTAGTGTCAACATTCTGCCCTTCAAGCATAGTATTTAAGAAAAATTTATATTTTGCAAGCCTTGGTGCTGGAGAATTCATTGATTGCACAAATGTGTATTGATTATCTACTATGTGCACATCTATATGCACTTGATGTTGAGGAAATTGACAACTTATTTATTGCCTCAAAAGTTAGTTGACTTCCCTTAAGTCACTCAGGTAGTAAATATCATAGTCAGAATTAAAAGTGTATCTCATTTGACTCTAAATTCACTGTTATTTCCACTACATGATGTTGCCTTCTTTACTAGAAGATACAAAGATGTGGAGACCTCCCATGGAGAAGATAATATTTAAGTTGCTCCATGAGTAGGAATTACTGCAGTCAGAACTATAGGAGAGAAGACAATTTTAGGAGGAGAAGAGGAGACAATGTGAATAAAGTTGTGGAAGTAGAAAATTGTAGGTGTTTGAGGCAGAGAGAAAGTAGAACACTAATACCTGACACATAGAGTAGAAGAAAAAAAGTTTTAATGTAAATGCTGTATTCTCCATTTAGGTAGCAGTTTACCAGAAAGTCTTATTTAATTTAGGATATTAATCTACATCCAGTTTAGAGAGGTAGATGTACAACTTGACATAGTCTTCCATGCCCTCTGATATGACTTTGCTCCAAAACAGTTTTATGAAGGGGCAGCTAGGTGGCATAGTGAATAGAGCACCAGCCCTTACTTCAAATCCGGCCTCAGACACTTGACACTTACTAGCTGTGTGACCCTGGGCAAGTCACTTAACCCCAATTGCCCAGCAAAAAAAAAAAAAGAAAAAAAAAACAACAAAAAAAGCAGTTTTATGCAGCATTTATAAGACTTGTGCAAAAGGAAAAAATAGTTTATATTACAGCCTGGGTTAACAGTTTAGAATTGAGCAACAATATTTTTATGTCCTTCTTCCTGGATCACTCTCCTCTAGGAGTCAATGGGTTGTTCACACAGATCTATATCTGGAATCTAACCTCCTACCTCCCTCTTGAAGGGAAGAAGGTACTTCCTTTAGGGCGGAACGTCATCTAATCTAATCAGAGGGAAAAAATTGCTCTTAGTTTGGGGAAGTGTTCTAATCTGGTTATCATCCTTAATCTATTCATCGAATGAAAGCTCCTTTTTCTTCCAGTTGGGAGTTATCCCATCTTAACAAAAGACTGGAGAAAAATAGCATATCTTAATTTCTAGAGAAACTAAAAGGAGATTTTCAACATACTTCCACAATAGTAAGTGTTTAATAAAGGATTATTGATTGTTGATTGAGACTTGAAGTCACATTTAGCCGAAGCTTTACTATTTCATTAATACTTCTATGAGTTGGGGTAGAAGGAGAAAAGAATGATAAGTTTGAGTCTGAATTAGCTAAGTAATTATCTTGTCTTTCCCTTTCACTATATTTCCTAGATGATTAGCTAATGCTTTGGGTCTTTCTGGATGTTTATTTATTCCTTATAGTGAGCAAATTTGTGATGAGAATTAATTTACAAAATTTAGCCACTGTTTTCTAGCCGCTGTTTTCATATGCTTTTTATGGGAGATAGGTAATGCATTCTCTGAGATGAACTATACTTGGATTTTTTGCTTGGTTTTCATTTTATATGCATGCCTCCACTCCCTTAACTGAAACTGACAAAAATCATCCCTCTCCTATGCATCTCCTAGTCATTAATCCTAGCCATTGACTTCCCATTAGGACCCAATGTAAACTTGAACTGCTTTTTTCTTTTCCTTGTTTCACTTGTTTCCTTGTTTCTTCCTCCAGATCTCCAGATCCAATTGTTGGAGTATCTCCTTTTTTTTTTTTTTTTTGTCCACAGTGTCACAGTGAATAACTTACTGAAGGACTTCTGGAAATTTCAGCCTTTGGTATTGAAAGTGGAAGGTATTTATTTCAAATATGTAAAGTGCCAGCTTTACCATCATCTTCTGTAACGACGGATGACATTGTCTCTGCTTGTGGCATCATCTTCCATAACAACATATCACATCATGATGTTATGACTGACAATATTCTACTCTAAAATGCCACACCATAAAAACTCATAATTTATAAGCTGTATTACTAGGATAGAGGTACATACTTACCTAATGCTTTGCAAAAGACAGGCTTTTACAATGTGTGATTTTATGGAGTGAGGTCTTATTCTTTTACCTTAAAATGTAGACTGTATCATTCTACTCTGAGGTAGAAGGCCCCAGGCTGCCTGGGCTGTATATGATGAGTTCTCTAATGATTCACAAGAGGATTTAATTTGTTATGTTACTTCAAGAGCTACTGCTTTCATCAATCAAAAGTGAGAGATTTGAAAATGATGCTAGCAATGTTGATTTCCCTAAATACTACAGACAGATACAGGCTTAGTCTGAAAGTATCTTTGAGTTACATAATACATTACAACCTCATTCATACAGAATACAAAATGAAAGGAGTAAGTTCAAAATTCTTACTAGTTCTGAAGTTTAGAATACTTGAAAATAACGCAGTTTCACCTGCTTTCTAATATATGCTGATGGACGTCTGATCTCGTATATGGTGGTGTTCTCTGGTTCAGCTAATTACCCTTCAACATCTTTTCATTGCATGATTTTTATCCATATTTTTGTTTGCTGTCTGTTTACCATTGAGGATTCACTGAACATACTAGAGTTCTTTTTTTAGCTTAAAAATATAACCAGAGATATTAATGCAGCATTCAGAATGATCTTCATTCTAACTACATAAGTAGTTCACTTTGTTCTCTGGGAATACATATTGCTTATGTGTTCTATGTCACTTACAGTACCAAAATCTAAGGCGACAAAAGTAACCACATAGAAAACTTTCATGAACAAAGATAATCTATAATATTCAAATTCTATGCAATAAGGTTCCTGGTAAAGTAGAATTATTTGTAGGGGATTTTAAAAATTCTTAGAACATAATATTTTATTTCTTTGGCAATTTCCTTTTCATGATTAGTACAAATGCAAACTGAATCCATCCAGTATTTAAATTCTCCTAAATGTCATTTATGTAGCACATTAAGGTTTACAAAATGCTTTACAAATTTTATCTCATTTGATTCATACAGCAGCCCTGGAAGGTAAGGGCTATTATTATCCCTCTTTTTACAAATGAGGAAACTGAGTCTAAGATAGGTTAAATGATTTGCCCAGGGTTGTATTGCTAGAGTCTAAGGATGAATTTGAACTCAAATCTTTTTTGCTCTAAGTCCAACACTATCCACTATGCCATGTACTTTCCTGATTTCTGTTATACTACTACTATTATTACTGCTTCTACAATTACTTATTACTACTATAATGGTATTGACTATGTTGTAATAAAAGTAGTTAAAGGTCTAGGCATGAAGTTAGGAAAAACTGGGTTGAAGCCCTACCTTAGACATGTTGTGTGACCCTGAGCAAGTCACTTAACTTCTCAATGCTCTAGTCGGCTCTCTAAGACAACAAGCTGTATATACCTTGTCAAGCTGCATCAGTGGAGGGAGTTTCCAAACCAGGAGTTCTTGACAACAATAAATTTACACACCACCTTCTCACACACCACCAACAATAACAACAATACTAATACAGTCACCACCTCTACTGTGAATTAATAGTCCAAATTAATGATTCCATGTTACCCTGTTAATATAAAAGTCCACTTATTGGCATATTTTAATTTACATACTGTTTTTGCTAGTTAGCATAATTTTTTTGTGATGTATTTGTAGGTAATACTATAAAATAAGTGGTAAGATGTGACTCTTTCCCTCTCAAGATGGCAGATAAACTCCCTTCAGAATTCGATGTGATCGTGATAGGGACTGGTTTGCCTGAGTCCATCATCGCAGCTGCTTGCTCGAGAAGTGGCCAGAGTGTTCTACATGTTGATTCAAGAAGTTATTATGGAGGAAACTGGGCTGGTTTCAACTTTTCAGGATTATTGTCCTGGATAAAAGAATATCAAGAAGAGAGTGATGTTGGGGAAGAGTGGGCTGCATGGCAGGAGCTAATACTGGAAACAGAAGAAGCCATTGTCCTTAGAAAGAAAGATCAGACCGTTCAACATGTAGAAGTCATTTGTTATGTTCGTCAGGATTCAGATGATCCCATTGAAAAAGCTGGTGCTGTGCAGAAAAATCCTGTCTCTGTGATGTCTCCTGGACTAAATGACCCTCTGGACACAGTAGACACATCTTGCTCTGATACATCTGAATTACCAGCACCACACAATGAGCCAGAGACTGCTCTGGAAGTACTGGAAGTAGAGGTGACACTGGAGAAAGAAAATCAACATGGTTATACAAGTTGTAGCCAGTCAGCTTTGGAACGGGACATAGCTGAACATGTGCCTATCATGGAAGATGTTGCTAATGCACCCAAGAAGCATTGGATCACTTACTCCCAAATTGTTAAAGAAGGCAGGAAGTTTAATATTGATTTGACCTCAAAGCTTCTTTATTCTCGAGGATTGTTAATTGACCTTCTAATCAAATCAAATGTTAGTCGATATGCAGAGTTCAAAAATGTCACCAGGATTCTTGGATATCAAGAAGGGAACGTGCTACAGGTACCTTGCTCCAGGGCAGATGTTTTTAATAGCAAGAAACTCACAATGGTAGAAAAGAGAATGCTGATGAAATTTCTGACATTTTGTTTGGATTATGAACAGCACCCTGATGAATACAAAGCTTATGAGCAAAGTACCTTTTCAGAATACTTAAAAACTCAAAAATTGACACCCAACCTGAGACACTTTGTCCTTCATTCCATTGCAATGACATCAGAGACATCCAGCAACACCTTAGATGGCCTCAGAGAAACAAGAAACTTTCTTCAGTGTCTTGGGCGGTATGGCAACACTCCATTTTTGTTCCCTTTGTATGGCCAAGGAGAAATGCCCCAGTGTTTCTGCAGAATGTGTGCAGTATTTGGTGGAACCTATTGTCTTAACCATGCAGTACAGTGCCTTGTAGTAGACAAAGAGTCTGGAAAATGCAAGGCAATCATAGATCACTTTGGTCAGAGAATAAGTGCTAAGTATTTTGTTGTTGAAGATAGTTACCTTTCTGAGAAAACATGTTCAAATGTGACCTATAGGCAGATATCAAGGGCAGTGCTGATCACAGATGGATCTATACTGAATGCAGATTCTGATCAGCACATTTCCATTTTGACAGTGCCACCGGTGGAACCAGGGTCTGCTGCTGTTCGGGTCATTGAGTTGTGCTCTTCTACTATGACATGCATGAAAGGAACATATCTTGTCCATTTGACTTGTATGTCCTTAAAAAAAACAGCAAGAGAAGATTTAGAACTGGTTGTGCAGAAATTATTTACCCCATATGCTGAAGTGGAGCTGGAAAATGGGGAACAAGAAAAACCAAGTCTTCTGTGGGCCCTCTATTTCAACATGAGAGATTCTTCAGGCATCAACAGGGACTCCTATAATAACTTACCTTCAAACATGTATGTCTGCTCTGGACCAGATTGTTTTCTGGGAAATGAGCATGCTGTTAAACAGGCTAAAACATTTTTCCAGCACATTTTGCCAAATGAAGAATTTTGCCCCCCTCTTCCAAATCCTGAAGATATTGTGTTCGATGGAGATGGTGTGCAACCAGAGGTTCTTGTACCCAAGCCGGACACTGCCAAAGAAGTCACAGGTCAAAGAAACCCAGAAGAGCATGCTCAAGAATAGATGGCAGTCAGATAGGGAGCCCTAATTCAAGAATTGTACCCAGTGTTCAAATTGTCTTAATGCAAGAAAAGTTTGGAAAATACTCAAAAGCAACAGTAAGTCATCTTTATTTGCAAAATTACAACATATTAAAAGAAACCAGGAGAGTTTTTCCCGCCTTGAAGAAGGGCATTGTAGCACAAAGTCAAAACCACTCTTCTAAAACACATTTATTCTCTCTGTTGTAAGATGTCAGAATTTTTGAATTAACAGATGCAATTTTACTCCTGGGAGCAGCACTAATCAGGATAAGGGATCTGATGAATTGTTAGCTGTTATGTAGTGTTCAGACACTACTTTTACTTCCTCTGGAATCTTTAGAAGCACCAAAATATGTTTATTGTTGATGTTTTTCAGAAACTTTTATACTTGAGTTTACAAAAGAACTGTCTTACTAGCTAACAGTATGTTGTTTAAGCAAAATGGTTATCTTTATGCTTGGAATCTTTTTCTTCAGTAGGAAACCTCAGTAACTAGAATCAGAAGCAGGGACAGCTTTAAGAACAAGTTTTAGGTGTGCTCTTGGGCACTGAGAAAAACAATGGGATGGACTTGGCAGGAATAACATTTACTAGGTTCTTAAAAATAATATGCAAAATTACTTTTACAGAATCACAGGGAAATAGCTTATATGGAAAAATAGATCATAAAAATGTTATCTTGTTCTCTCCAAGTAAATAATATAGCATTCTGTGATAAGAATAATTTTCTTTGTGGATGTAATGCAGTGGATAGAGCACTGGACTTGGGAAGACTTGAATGAGGCCCTGGACAAGTCACTTAACCTCCGTTTGCCTCAGATTCCTCAATTGTAAAATGGGGATAGCAGCACCTGTCTCACAAGGTTGTTGTGAGGATCAAATGAGATAGTATTTATAACGGCACTTAATACAGTGCCTGGCATGTAGTAAACATGATATAAATGTTTATTCCCTCCTTTCTCTTTCAAGTGTTGATGGCTTTTATACATGAGCATTTCTATAACTGGAACTCCACTATACTTTAATAAAGGGTTGTCCAGCTATGTAAAATGAGACATTTTTGCCAGTCTCTACTAACTTAAAAAAGAAAATAATGACAAACAAAACAAAAAAAATGAATTATTCACCAGAACTAGAGCAATAAGTGTTGTCTCCATAGGATAAGAAACTAAGAATTTAAACAATGTAATAATATTATGAATTAACAATGGAAAATGCTAATCCCTATTGTGATCACTCAATACCCCTGTCCCACCAGCCTCTATTCTCTATGACTTGCAAACTAACCCAATGGATTGTGCTCTGAACCTACTCAGGAATACTCCTGCTGCTTCAATCTCTTGCCAGTACATGTCACCCCTGCCCTTAATCCAGAATCCACTAAGACACCTCTATGTAGAAAAACAAAAACAAAAACAAAACAAACAAAACAAACAAAAACAAAACAAAACAAAACACCACAAACCCAGAGCTAAGAGAGTGGGGCTGTGTTTTGCTTGGACAACCCCTAGCTTAGGAAACTCCAAAGTCTCAGAAACTCTTCCCAGAATACCCAATCTATCCTCCCCCAAACCTTCAATAATAGCAGACACTGATTCAGTCCAGCCAGAGAATTTTAAAAAATGGAGAGAACTGGGTCAAGTGACTGCATGTAAGGATGTACCAGGCCTGAAGGAAAGGGGACTGGAATGCAGCTGAAGCCAGTTCTGTCCCCAACAAAGTTACTTGGAGTAGGGTCTAAGTTCAGTGAAAGTGAATTCCCTAACTTGGAAGGAGACTGAAAGAGTAAGATATAACCTCAGGGGTAAACCTATAATAAAAAGAGAAAGAATTAGAAAATAAACAGAAAAAGTATGGGGGGGGTAGGGAAGTAACATCATCAAATATCTCAGGAGGAAGAAAACTCCAATAAAAAAATCTAGATCACAAGTAAATAAATCAACCGAGAAAACATTGAAGTCAGAAAGGAAGATGGCTAACAAGACTTTTAGAAGATTACAAATATCTCTGAATCAATATTAGAAGACTAAGGCAATTGGATCAACACCTGATGAAACATAGAATCCTGTGGATTCCCAAGAAAGTATGAAAATACTAATTATCAAATAGAAAATCTTGAATCCATGGTGGCCGTTCTCACCCCCAAAGCCAGAGACAATAATAGATCATGAATAGAAATATAATGTAGAACAAGTTGATGCAAAAGAAGCAAAAAACAATAATTTTAAAAGAATACATAATCTTCATACAAGTTAAAATATATTGATCTCAAGGAAAGAATGCATATAGACAATTTAAGTATTTTGTGACCTCTCAGAAGGACATGGTAAGTCAAGAAACCTGAACACCACATGCAAGAGATAATTCCTCCCCCCCAAAAAAAACTTGCCCAAAATTTATTAATACAGAAAACAAAGCACAAGTCAAAAGAATCCACAGATCACATGCAGGAAGGAAAAAAAATGATGCAAATCCCCAGACAAAATCTCTCAATTCCAATTACAAACAATAAATTCTGCAAGAGACTCTGAAAAAGACCTTGAAATGCAAAGGAAAGAAAATTTGAATGACACAAGACTATTCCCCACCTACCAGGAACTGTAAAAGGTAATGGAATAATATATTCTGAAAAGCAAAGAAAGTGAAAATGCAACTTAAAATGACATACCTTTCAAACTTGGATCTAATCTTCAATGACAAAAAAAGAATATTAAATAATGTAGAAGAATGTGGAGTATTACTGTCCAAAACACCCCCCACAAAAGACAGGAGAAGATTATTTAATGTTTAAATACTGCAAACAATAAAAATGCAAGAAAAGAAAATGAGTACAACTAATAAGGAGAACTTAAGTAATAAAATAGTTTATCCCATCTCTGGAAACTATTAAAAGAAGAAAAAAGCAAACTAGAAAGAGAAAGACACTTCTGAAGTTAAAAAAAAAAAGAAATAACATTAGAGGAACCATTAAAAAATTTCTACAAATACCTAAAGGAAAAATATGAGATGAAAATTTAAAGGAATTGGAAAAAATATAGTGTAGAAGAAAGCCTGAAATACCATAAACACCAAATTCTGAAGCCCCATATAAGTGAATCATTATATTTTCTGAGCATGAAAGGATGAATGAAAAGTGGTAAGGGAGGTGGAAGGTAGAAGAGAATGTCATAAATGACCCTAATCATATCTATGAAAAGCAGAAAAGGAAAAATAACATATATAATCTCTCAGCAAGAAGCCTAGAGTAAAATTGGCGAGGGGGCAAAAAAGAAATTGGAATGAATATTGGTAAAGAAATGGTGGGTGGAGCTCCCACTGAAGACTTCTCCTATTGGGGAATAGCTGTATTCTGTGGTGGAAGATGAAGACCTTACAATTTGGCTAATGTGCAGTGATTTAGTGCCCAGAGAAATCCCTTCCTCTTTTCCATGAACAACATCCAGCCTTAGCCAATGAAATCAGGACTCCTAGGGCCAATCAGCATCTAATAGGGTAAGAGGCGTGGACCCAGAGAGGAGAAAGGGGAAAAGGGAAAGAAAATGACCATGAGGAGAGCAGGAAGTAAAATTGGGCAGAATAAGTTGGGACACAGCAAAATTCCATCCTCATTACTTCTGTCAGGAATTGATGCTTCCAACAAAAAGAAAAAAAAAAGCAGGGGTGGAGAGGGAGGGAGCAATATCTACCAGACAGTAACATAGAAATTGTTTATAAGAGGAAATTCAAACTTGGTAGTTTTTGAATATTTAATTCCATGAGGAACAAAAAGTGACTGAAGAAGGAATAAATAAGTGTAAAATTTGAGAATTAAAAAATAAAAGCTTAGGACTAGAAAAAAAAATTACTGAATAGAACAAAAGGTTAAGAAAATTTTAAAAAATATAACAAAGTAAGCAGAAGGGAGAGAGAAAGGAAGATTTTGATTTAATCACTTAATTTAGAGGACAAAGAGATAAAAAGAAAGATTTATTTCTCTTTTAATTTACTTTAATAAAATAAAGAAAAAAGAATCAATAAGGGAGGTAAAACTTTAAAATTAGAAAGAAGGTTGCCAAATGGAAAGGGGTCAGGATTAAGGGTGAGGGGAAAGAAGAATATGGTAATAGGGTTGTCTTAACGTAGATTAAGCAAAAGTAATCATAGGGACAAAGTAGTGTCCTAAAAGAAAGCCAAAAAAAACCCAAAAAAACAAAACCCATATCCTAATTCAGTCAATTGCTACAGTGGACAAAAATCGTTAAGTTTGAACTCTGTAAAAGGAAATAGTTGAACTTACTAACTTCAAGGTCTTTTAGACTAAAATTTTTTGAATGGGGTTATACTATGATCAAACCTGTGTATTGGGAAGGTTATTTCTACAGCTGGATGAACAGGAGGATGGGAGAAGGGAGAACTAGACAGAGATTATTTAGGAGAACAGAACAATAGCCCAGGTGAGAGGCAGTGAAGGGCTGAACTAGGGTGGTGGCAATGTTAATGTAAGGGTGGGGGAAAGCTGCAAGATTTAGAGTTAGTGAATCTGGATTCAAATCCCTCCTTCACAGTGCTATCCATGTAACCTTGGGCAATTCATTCAACTGTCCTGGACCTCAATTTCATTATCTATAAAAGGAAGAGCTGGAGGAGGTTGGACAGTATGGCCTTTGAGATCACTGTCAGCTCTAGATCACTCTCAATGAACCAAACTTTCTTGTTCAGACTGCTTTTTGAGAAAAGGGCTGGAGACCAGGGAATCAGCTTTTGTTTTGAACAAGATTTGTTTCCCTAAACCAGCAATATTAGAAGGGGACAAAAAAGTATAAATCTAACTTCAATATCCCATGTTGGATATTTTAAAGGCAATGAGTAAGCACCCACTCATGATATCTCCTTCCTTTAATGTAGAAATCACCCTATACATTGGAGCAGAGGTAGGCCAGATTCCAGAGATGAACAAGACACCTGTAAGTTGCAAGTAACTCTATCTGTTAGCCAGTCAATAAATATTTATCAAGCACCTTCTATATACCAGGCACAGTGCTAAGCTCCGGGGGTACAAAAAGAGGCAAAAAACAGTCCCTGCCTTCAAGGGGCTCATAATCTAAAGAGGGAGATAATGAACAAACATGCATGAACAAGCTATTCAGGATAAATAGGAGATAATTAAAAGAAGGAAGTCATTAGAATTAAAAGGGGCTTGGGAGAGGATTCCAGTAGAAGATAGAATTTTAGTTGGACTTAAAAGAAGTCAGGGAAATCAATAGGTAAAGATGAGGAGGGAGAATGTTCCAAGTATGGGGAACAGCCAGAGAGAATGCTTAGTTCTCAGAGATGGAGTGTTAGACAGATAGGAGTTTCCCTGGATTGAAGAGTACGTGGAAGGGAGTAAAGTATAAGAAGACTGGAAAGGTAGAAGGGAGCTAGGTTATGATGGGCTTTGAACACCAAGCAGAATTTTGTATTTGATCCTGGAGGAGACAAGAGAGTTTATTGAGTAAGAAAATGCCATTGTTAGACTTATGCTTTAGGAAAATCATTTTGGTAGCTGAATGGAACATATATTAGAGTGAGGCAGGCAGACCCACCAACACACTTTTGTAATAAATAATCCAGGTATGAGGTGATGAGGGCCTGTACCAGAGTCATGGCAATCAAAAGAGAGAAGGGGGCAAATTAGAGAAATGTTACAAAGGTGAAATTGACAGGCCTTGAGAACAGATTTGATAGGAGTGGTGAAGAGACAGTTCTTGAGTCCAGGATGACTCTT